ATGAGAATTGGTGATACACTCGGATGAATTGCTTCGCTCAATACTATTTCCAGTACCATCAGGTTTCTGCATAAACAGCTCACTTTATGACTTGAGAACGCGAAATTTACTACTAAATTCCAATGCGAGCATGCAGTATGAGAAATGATATATAACTTTGGAAATAAAAGATCAACTCTCACTTCTGCTTGCTGTTTTAACTTAGCATTTTCTTTCATTAATTTAGATTCCTGCATATCAGGAAAGTTACTAATTAGCCCAAGCCTTTAGATGTTGAGTTTATCATTTTACGGAATTTATCTCTTAACAAGGAGCAGCATGATTATATTTTTCATTGAAGGATAAAGTTTGAGGTCTTGCCTTTTTCATGAGCATATTTATCTCTTTAAAAAACTTGTCATTCTTCCCACAGAAAGACAAAGATGTTAGCACAAAAAATCTAAACAGGAAACACTGGAAAACACGGAAATGTAGGTAATAATACCTTTGTTTCCACAACATGGTTTAGTACTCCTTGTACCCTTTTCTCTAGTTTGATCAACTCATCCGTGTCAAGTCCTTGGAGCTCTTCTCCCTTGAGTTGCCTATCATAGTTATAATTGTGTCTCAACTGTGCAACGCACTTGAATATGCGTAACAGCAAATCTTTAATTCACAGCCATATTTTACCTTAATTCACGAGTCTTTTCCACTAGCAACTTGCTGAGCAAGCCATAGCTATCATTTTCCTGAGAGAAAAATGCAAATAGGGTTATTCAAATATCACACATGACATAACATTTTGTGTTTTTGACGTTATATTGTTGAAATATATTCTTCATTTATTTAGTCAAGTTCAACATTTATTTAGTTAAGTTCATTCATGTCTTTTGGGATTATTCATGTACTTGGAAAATATATGAATTATTTTCAAGATTTGTTTGCCTATAATAACTAGTACACGTATTTGATTAAATTCATGTTTTGTAAAACCTATGAAATATCAGTGAATGTACTCATTTTCCATAAGTTATTTATGAGTGTTAACATATAAAGTTGAGCATTCACTTGAATATTGTCTTATCTTCTAAAAGTCGTTCCATAAGTCATTTTGGGGAGTTCAGAAATAAAGAGAATATTCTTTTTCATCTTTCAAAAGTTTTCCATCTCCAAGTTTCCAACAAAAGTGGCATTAGAGCCATTTATAAGATTGTGGAAATAAGAGATCACAAACAATAATTATCTTTCCGTTCATCAACTCACTGATGATAACTATAATAAGTGCTGTATCCGTATGAAAGCATATGTTGGAAGTCAAAATTTATGGACTTGGTAGAGAGCGGTTTTGAAACTTAAAATGAAGAAGGCGGGTCTTAAACACGAATAGATTTGCAACAAGCAACTAAGATGAAGAATCAAAAGGCTCTTAGTACGATTCATCAAGATCTTAACGATACAATTTTTCAAAAGGTGTAAAAAATGCTACCATTCAAAGCAAGCATATGGGATTTTTAAAATTACATATAAATGTGCGAAAAAAATTAAAAAGGTTCGTCTTCAATCATTGACAGGAGAACATGAAGCTCTATCCACGAAAGTACCTGATTGAATTTCAAATTACTCTTCACGACGATTGGTGATTATCAATGAGATGAAAAGGCATCGTAAAGAAGTAAGTGATTTTAGTGATCAGAATAAAAATTTGATTATTACATGAAAATTTTAATTTTCATTGCAGTGGCAGTAGAAGAATCAAAAGATTTGGAAGAAATGATTATCGATGAAGTTGTGAGTAAGAAGAACAATATGAACCAAAGAGGTAGAAAACATGGAAGAGGACATAGAAGTGGAGAAAGAAATTCTCAACATCAATCCAATATTCATATAATTCAAGAGGGCGAGGAAGACAATCTCAAAAAAGAGGAAGAAAAGAATAATGGTTGAAGATATGATAAATCTCAAATTGAATGATATAATTTTCACAAGCTTAGTCATTTTGTATGTTAGTGCAGAAGTAACAACGTGGGGGAGCAATCCAGCTACGATTAAAATAAAGATACGAAAATGAATTTTACTCTTGAAAATACAAGGTACAAGGAGGCAATAATTCTTGGTACTTATACACCTAAGCAAGTAATCATATGTGTGGAGATCAATCTATCTTCATGGAACTTGAAGAACTAAATGACCACATTACATTTGGTAATGATTCAAAGGTGCAAGTCAAGGGTAAAATTCTCATCCAAATGAAGAATGAAGAACAATATATATTCAGTGTTTACTATATTCCTTTTATGAAGACAAATGTTTTGAGTTTTATCCAATTTTTATTCATAGAGTTCCAATCATATAGAACCAAATAATCTTGTGAATATTCAAAGTTGAGAAGTAGAGTGTTTGCAGACATAGGTCAAAGATTCAACATTACATTTGAAACATGGCAATTTAAGTTTTGATGGTCTAAACATCTTTACAAAGTGAAATATGGTGAAGGGGCCATAACATATTTATCATCCAAATCAACTTTGCAAAGAGTCTATGAAAAGAAATCAAAAAACTTTCCCAAAAGAAGCAAGTTTTCGAGATCGAGACTACTAAATTAGTACATATGGATCTCTATGGATCGCTTCAGCCTGCATAATTTGATAAAAGTAATTACTTCATTTCATTTAGTCATGACTTTTCTCGTAAAATATTAGGTGATTTTCTTATAGAAAAGTCTGATGCAATTGAAGCTTACAAGAATTTCAAGGCAATGGTGAATAATCAAAGTAGTCACAAGATCAAAAACTTATTCTAAAATCATGGTGGTGATTATATTAGCAACACATTCAAGAATTTTTGTTAAGATCATGGCATTTTTTCATTTTTTTTATGTTCACTTGTCTTCTAAACAAATGGCGTAGCAGAGAAAAGAATATGACAATAATGAAAATGACTTGAAGTATGCTGAAAACTAAGAAGATGCCAAAAAAGTTCTTGACTGAAATTGCTTAGTGTGCTGTGCATTTGTTGAATAGTTGTCCCACCAAAGTGTGCAAAATGACTCATCAAGAAGCATGGAGTGAACTCAAGCAAAGTATATTACATTCAAGTTTTCATAAGCATTGCTTTATCTCATATTTCGAAAGAAAGAAGGACCAAACTAGATGACAACAGTGAGAAATAAATCTTAATAGGCTATGATTCAAGATGAAAAGATTACTAGCTCTCCAACACAATAAATAAGAATGTGATCACAAGTAGGGATGTTGAGTTCGGCGTTGAAATTGGGCAAGAAGAAAACTATAATTTCTTCAAGAACTTGAAAGGCTTACCACTGGATCAATGGCAAAATCACTTTTAGAATTGGCTCCTTCTTTGCCACAACGAATATGTCAATTCTTATCAATGGTTTTCCATCTCCCTTTTTCTCATGCTTGAAACTATTTATTCTTCTTCGAACTTTTTTTTTCCTTTTTTTTTTTTTTTACATCTCCAATGAATGGCATTCTAGAAGCTCTCAATCAAGCAAAGACTTCCTATACGATACTAAAGCCAAATCAATGTGGGCATAAATTGGGACATACTGTCAATGATCTCAATTAAACCAATTAGGAAACGATTTTCTCTTTGCGGTTAAATTGGATACGCGACGTAGGATAAAGAAAAAGAGTTGAGAACAAGGTGATGTGATTCCGCCTTAATTAACATCATCAGCTCTACCTCCAAGATATATCATCATCTTCATCATCCTCAAGTAAAATACCAAATCATTTTAGATGTTTTCGATAGATTTGTAATGATACCGAAGAGTTATCTCAACATCTCAAGAAAATAACTTTATTTTGTTTATTTGTCCATCATGCGATTATTAATTTCAATGATGCTATTAGAAATAATAATGGGGAAAGCCATGAAAGAAGAGATCTATTAAGAAGAATGATACTTGGAAGTTAGTCATGCAACCTACTGGCCAAAAGTCAATTGGAGTCATGGACTTTTGAGGAAAAAACAATGTAAATGGTGAAATCGAATGCTAAAAGACAAATGTTGGTAGCTAAAAGCTATAATCTGGAACATGACGTCAATTATGACAAAATCATTGCACTAGTAGCTCTTTTTGAAATAATAAGACTTATCATTTTCATGGCAGCATAAAATGGATGTTCAATCGACATTTTTGAATGAATTTCTACAATAAAACGTATACATACTACAATCTCATGGGCAGGGACAAATTCAGGAGTTTGAGTCAACAGGGACAACTATTGACCATTTATCGTCGGCCACAATAAAATATTAAGAGTCTTTTTGATATCCATTCTTTTGCCAAAAAAAAAAAAAAAAAAACATTTTTGAATAGTGAAACTAAAAAAAAAAAAAAAAAAAAAAAAGCATTTTGGAATAGTGATTTGACAAAGAACGTGTGACTAAAAATAAAGAAAATTTTTGAATTTACGTGTAATATTATTTTATTGAAGAATGTATGGATGAAAAGAGTAGAGAAAAAATGTATTTTGAAAAAAAAATAGAAACCGAACAAGGCCTAAAGTTCAAATATAACAATTACTTCTTCAAATTGAACATATATAATCCTGTTATAAGAATAAATAGAACTCATTAAACGACAATGTAGCCAAATTTTGTATAATTCGAAGGAAGAGCGCAGATTCAAATCTTTAAAATTGTTTGTATTAAAACAGTTAAAACCTAACAAATATTATTTTGTTAAATTTAGCAACATAATTCAAGTGGTACCATAATGATTAAGTTTACAATAACCCTTGCAAGAGATCACAAGTTCAAATCCCCATTGCCCCTCTCCCTATTGAATTTTGATAAAAATAATACACAACAAATCTATTGACAAGGGATTCAAACATGAGACTTCAAATATGTTTATGCAAGCTCTAACCAACTGAGCTATAAGGGATGTTTGAAATTAGAATCAATTACCTTTAATAATCTACTGTCAAAAAATAAATAAATAAATAAATTCTCCCAACAGACCCTAGCTTGCCATCTCCTACATCCATCGTTGCTCATGGTATGTTGTGAAAGGGCACGAAGACAAGGTTTTGAAGTTGAAGAGAGCCTTTTATAGTTTATAGCAAGTCTCAAGGGCATAGAAAAGACTCGATAAATTTCTTCAAGTTGATGGATTTATTTGTTTGAGACAATTGGAAACTGGTTGCTAACAAGTTCTTAATTATCCTAGCTATTTAACATATAATTTTTATTTTAGCTTGTATGAACTAAGACTTTGCTGAATTTGACAACATTTCTCAAAAATGGAATTGGATTATTTATTAGAATTAGATGCAAGCAGAAGTATAAAGGGATAACAGAAATTAAAATTACATAAATAAATTTTTCGAATTGACCATTTAAGTGGGTAACTGAAAAGAGAATTCAAGTTTTAATTCAATATTCAAAATCAATCATCTTACTACAAAACCCTTAACTAGACTTTCAAAGCAAAACAATCTATAGAAAATTTATCTTTTTTGATTAAATTCCTAATAAAACTATAGTTCCTATTGGACATAAAATGATAAAAGTGTAATTAATTAACAGTAACAAAAAATAAACAATAAAATATGATATTAAAAGGGGATCCACTTGTACGACTCACCTTGGATTGGAAAAGATTCATCCTTGAATCTTTCGTCGCTCATCTAACACCTTATAGGGACAGTGATTTAATTGGTACGTAAATGACATAGATATTATCACAGATATCTTGCCTCTAGAAATCTTGAAAAAC